TTATGCACCTGCTAATCCTGTGTACTGTGGCTGTGCTTGTGTACTTTACTCCAAATCTTCCCAAGTCTGTATGCACAGGTGTGATTTACAGCCCTTGTAGGTAAAGCCCAGTCAACTTTAACCTGGAGTGCTGAGAGAGCAAAGTGCTGGCAGCAGCTCCCATGGACACACTCAGTGCCTGCTGAGCCTCTCAAGGGTGTGCTCTGAGTGTGGGGCAGCCCCTGCCCTCTGCCCCAAACACTGCCTGCTGTGCTGGTGTGTGGCTCAGCTGTGCCTGAGGGCAAGGCCAGGGCTCCCTGTACCCTGGCAACTGGGATAACATGTAAATCTGAGTGTCTGCAAAACAATGTGCACAATCACTTCATGGCAGAATTGCTGGGGCTGTAAAGGTGTTCCCTGGGAGACTCTTTTCCTTGTTCCTCAAAGTGCAGTTGGTGACACTGAAGGTGAGGATTGGTCTGCAGTGCTGTGAGTGTACAGCCCACACAGCAATAAAGATGTTTGCATTGTCTAATGCAACCAGTGGAAACAGGGGCCTGGGGGACAAGTGCTGGAGCTTAACATGTTCTCTTTTACCTTTGTTTGTGTGATAAAGGCTCCTGAGACGCCAAGGGCAGCAGCACTGCACAGTGGGAACCTCTGCACTCCTGTTTGCCTGCCCAGGTGCAGTTGCAGATTCTCTGTCTCCACTTACCCTGGACTGCTTTGGTTCCTGGCAAGGGAAAACTGTTTCCATGAGAGGTGGAACTAGAGGAATCCCTCCTTTGACTCAGCTTTCATCCTGATGGACATGCACAGTCTCACCTCACTTGTGACCCACAAACTACAGGAGGAGTCCTTTGCTGCAAAACCAAATACTGTTTACTCTGCTTGCTTTCTCCTTTTGCTGTAACAAACTTTAATAATTTGCATAAACAATTTGTTTTATGTCTCCTGATCTTTACTGATTTTACTAAACTCTGTATTTCCTATTTACTTTCCTTTTGCTTCTCCCCTTCGTTACTACTTTCTTCAATCTTTGTTCTACTCACTACTTCTCTCCCATTCTGCAAAAATTCTCAGTCCATATCCCACCCACAGGCCTGGAGAAGAAGCCATTCTGAAAATATTATGTGTGCAAACCAGTTTCTGCAAACTCCACCCAGCTCATTTATAATAAGATAATAAAAAATAGGATTTGAGATCCTGACAGCCTTGGCTGTAGATACTTTGATGGATCTGCAAGCATGACCTAATTGCATTGCAAATGTAGAAACTCTTACTCCAGTGACACAGACTAGACTTGCAGAATCTGCAGCAGTGCTACCTACCTGGAGAGGGCAATTCTTGTCCTGCTTGGCATTTAAGAGATAACATTTTGCAGCTTACCCTCAATCAGTGAATAATGCCTAAGTCAGGGGTCAATCAAAAAAATCCTGCCACATGATGACCTTTGGCTCTTTGAACTTTAATGCACTGCTGCCTTTCTTGATTCCAGTAGCTAAAAAAAACAAATAGACAACTATCACAGCCCCTGGTGAGTATTCAATGAAGCTACAGAGTATAAAACAGAGCTGGAGTCTAAGAAGCTTGGACAGCTTTAACACTCTCTTTAGCATGTGGTAAACTCACAGCAGGATGTCCCTGGGATGAGACAGAGCACTCATCTCTATGTAGATATGAGTAAAATCTGTTGACATTTTCCACTGTGATGTGTTTTTAGCATGGGGCCTTGTGCTACAAAGTCATTTCTCTGCACACACAAGATGAGCATGCACTCAATGCTGCCTGGTTTATCTCCTTTCAGAGGGAGTGGTGCAGGACCTCAGGGGTTTGTGCAATGAAAATCCATCAACATTATTTTGAAATTATATTCCCCTTGCCAGGCATGTTAGATAAAACAAAGGAGGAGGGGCAGATGCTTAGGAGGAATTTCTCTTTACAAAAACATTTCTCCCTTTTCTAACATTTGAGAGAAGTCTTAATCCCAGCACTAATATGACAGACACGTACCACAACAGTCAGAACTATACTGTCTCTGTTATAAAACCAACTTATAAAGCAGAACATCCTGTAGTTTCATTTTCTTTCCACAAGAGGACATTTCTGTATCTACAGCACACCAAAATTTCTGTACCACTGACACACTTAACATCTGAAGACAGTTTTACTGGCAAATTGGGTCCTCATTGATTTCATTTTATTAAAACAATGTTGCTGCTACATTCTGTCTTCAGTCATGGGGAAGTGACAGAAAAACCTGAGCACTGGGGAAATGTGGTATTTAACAAGTGAGGGATTGACTGGAATTATTACAACGAATAATTGCAAGTATCACAACTGTGAAGAAAAGATGAAAAGAAGGGAAACAGAATTTTATCCTGAAAATAACTTTAAGTAATTTTTTTTCCTATCCTAATAGCTTGCATATTATGTGCATGTTTAGACTGTAAATTATAACTCTGAATTAACCTTCTTGTTTTCCATTCTTTGGTTATTTGCCTTTTCCAGCATCAGCTTTTTCCAGAAATTCACCTTCTCTTCTTTCAACTTTCTGGCTTTCTTTTGTTTTAGATTTATCTGCAAGTATTCTTCATTTAGGTTGTAGGATGGCCATTCAACCAAACCCTCTCCATTAGGATTTCTGTAAACAACAACAACAAGAAAGAAAGAAAGAGTGAATGCCCTTTTCAGGCACAGGGAAATTCAATCCCAGAAGTCAGTACAGAGCACTAATGTGTCATGACTCTCATGATTCTTACCCGTTTTGAGCAAAGTTAGCCCAGTATTTCATCAGAGTTCTACTGAGGTTCTTTTCTTCCTCTGTAACTTCACCTGAAAGGCAAAATACAAAATAGTTGTTATGTGTGGCAAAATCAAGGCATTACTACCACAGGAGCAGCATTTCTGTCTGTGAAAATGCTGCAACAACTTCTCAGTTGCAACAGAAACACGATACCTGCAAAATGTCAGTAATGCAGCATCACGAGATTTCAGCACTTCCTGAGTGACATAATTATCCCTATTCTACAATCAGGGAATTTGGGAACAAGGAAACAAGGTGATGTGCCTGTAGCTTTCCCAGAAACCAGAAGCAGAACCAAAAACCCCACGTGTTCTGCCAGTAGAACTCAAGAAATGGGCCACATGGTTTAGCTTCCTGGATCTCATTCCAGTTTGTGGGACTGAAATCCTCCCTATTATTCAGAGCATGATGAGGCAAAAGATTTCTCCATTCTGATACAAGGTGGTCATTTCTCAGCACTTCAAGAATATTCATTTATATCCAGTGACACAGAAGCCCACTGTATCACCAGGGGAAAAACACTGCAGTGTGTTATTAATTATAAGTGCATCTCCACACATTAAGAAAAATATTTGTTATCTTATCTTATTGCCCTCGGTAAATTCAGGCAAATAGGAAATGAACTGTAAAGTGTTTCCTAGTGTAGTAAGTATGTAAGTAAAAAAATAAATATAAAATACAAGCAAATCAAAAGGCTCTAGTAACAGATTAACAAAGGGTTTTATAACATAGCTGGATTGCTCCAAAGTTCAATGGAGTAAAAGGAAGCACTTTCAGTTATGTAAGCTTTGAAACAGACTATGAACTACTGTTCAAATGGCAAAAATAAGAGCAGAAAAAATTGTGAATTCACTTAAAGTAAGTAGAATTTCTGTATTTCTTTGTCAAAATAAGATCCGTCCCAATTGGTTTCATGGGAAAGAACATACACCATCCTGAGTATTATTGTTTTAGGCATATATAATTAAAGCATATTGCTGGATTCACAATATTCTTTAGGATGTGGCATCGTGTTTCTTAACTGTTCAGTGACTGGCACATTCATTTGGAATGGATCAATGTGGGATTCTGCCTCAAGGAACTTCCCAAATCTCGTGAGAATGTTGGGACTACACCCTAATCCTCCCACAATGGACTGGTTCCATTTTGAATAAAATGCTTATGTATTAATTGAGTCATGGGGCAACACAGTCTTTAACCTAAGTATTAGATCTTCCTGCAGGAAATGAAACACTGGAGTCCCAAGCTTTGCTCTGAACACAACTGGAACAGTATCTGCAAAAGAGACCAAGTCCCCCATTCCCTGGAGCCTGACAGCCCCTGGGATTTCCTGGGAAGGAGGAGACACTACTTTGAACTCCTCAGGAGAAGAAGATATCTAGATTTCCTGCTGCCCAAGCACTCTGCCAATCCCCTTCAAGCTTAATTGATCTTTCCTTCAGTTTATTTTTCAGCCAAAGCTATTTGGCAAATTCATGCACGGTGCTGGTCTAATGGCAGTGAGTTTTTTAGCAAATGTCCTATTGGCTAAATTGTTAACAATATGTACAACTCACTGTGCTTCAGAATGAGCAAACTGTACCTGACAGATTGGGGAAGACAAATAGTGTAAAACAAATTCTACAGGAGAAAGGGTCATGCTTTGGTCTCACTGTTAATAGAGGCACTTTAGTCTGATTAAAATAGGTAATAATGCCAGTTACCAGACTAATTTCTATGTGAACATTTATGACTATTTCTTACTGCGCAGCTGAATTTCTCCTGCCAGAAAGGGTCCTCCAAAGACAAAGCCAACCTCATCCCCATGGTCAGCCTTCACATACTCTGGTTTGCTGTCCCAGTATGAACTGGGGCGGTGCTGAAACTCAAAGAAGTAGGTAGGGGCTCCAGACTCTAGAAAATGTAACATTTAGAGAGTTAAAGAGATGCATAAAGTACAGTTGACATCAGCTGTTTAAAATACCACTTTAAACATGCCCAAAGCTTTATACCAGGGACATTTCTAATGCAATGTCACATTCAAATATTTACATTTTTAATTCAAAATTAAGAACTCACAAAAAAAAAAAAAAGAATCAAGGCTCACCACAGGAAAACTTACAGAAAACACAATAACATCAAATTATTTCCAGTTCTGGGTATCTTGGCAGGGTTTGTCAAGATTTTTTGAAATCTCCAGACCACAGAGCTGCTGACTTCTCAAGTAGCTGTGGGCCAAAGGGCAAAGGTTGCTTTGATATATTTTAATTTTTAAGCCTGTATAGTTCAGTTAGCAAACATTTATCTGTGTTATCATGCTCTGGTCTCAATATATTGTGCTTATGAGCACAGGACACTAGGACAAAGATGAAGGACCACACATAACCCTGCAGACCTATATAATTCTTCATCCTCAAGTTCCCAGTAGGAATCTCAAGATGGGTTGCCTACACATGACAGGATTTGTGTCTACATCATTTGATGCAGCATATAGTGAGAGGTTTGAATATCCTCCTCTGTTCATTAGCTCACCCCTGTGATAATTCAGGGCTTTAATGGCTGGCATGACAATTGCCATATCCCCCAGCAAGTCCAGAAACCGGGCCCGTAGCTCAGCAGGATCCTCTGTGTCTCCTACATATTCATCTACTATCCTGGGCAGAAAATCTGATGGTAGATCCTAAGAGACAAAGGGGAAATAGGAAAACAAACAGACAAATCACCACTGTCTCTATTAGCAGCTAAAAATGTCATCTTTTTAACTTCAGAGATTCTGCAAGGGCACAAAGGTTCAGGATAGCTCCCATGTTGATGGGAGATAAAACCCATTCAGAGGAAAAAACCCCCCAAAACCAACATAAAAAACCAAACTAAACCAAAAACCAACAACAAAAAAAAAAAACCGCCCCCAAACCCCCAAACCAAACCAAACCAACCAAACCAAAACCAACCAACCAACCAAACCACCCTAACCCCCCCCACCACCTCAGGTCAAATTTGCACCAGATTTATATAGGTTTAAAGCTCTACAGGACTCAAAGATCCAGCAATTTTTCCTGATAATACCTCTGGCTTCTGCTTTCTTCAGGAGAAAAGAGATGGGAATAACATAAGTAAATTCTCTGAGCCCTTGAAAGATTTATGGACTATTAGACTGCAGGACAAGACCAACTGGATCTCGGAACACAGTGTAGGGTTTTTAGTGTTAGAATTTGCTGCTTGGAAGACACACTTTAGGAGTGCAAAGTAACTCCTTTAAAAGCTGCTTTTAATGTCATGTAAACACATTGAAAAATCCTGCCTTGATACACACCCAGGAGATTAGCCATGAGATATCTGAGCATTAGGGACACTATTACAGTAATCCTACATACAAATAGGTAAGATAAAAATGTTGCTTCAGAAATCTAGAAAGGAAAATATTTCCCCATAACCCAGACCTGACTCAATTCTATTTCTGTGTAACACCCCAGTCCTGTCAACTTTGCTGGGACTCTCCCCAAAGCATAACATGGCCTCAACTCTTAGCAACATTATAACTCAAATCTGTTATATGCCTGAAAAAGAAAATTCACTTCTCAAATTAAATCAGTGCAACAGTACTTACTATCATTGGTAGAAAATACTCTAAAGTTGAAGTGATTGATTTTTTATCTCCTATTTCCCTCAAACCTGTTATTTTTGACGTCTGCACAGGAAAAAAAAAAGAATGTTATTAGCATCATTCAACTTCATTATTTTTAACATTGGAACTACATTATTCCACTTTACTCTTACTACTGGTGTTTATTTTTGAAGCATCATAGGCAAAAGTGCAGCACAATGGAGCAGCTGCCTGGAAAAGCCTGTATTTACTGCAGTAAACGTTTCCTTGGTGAAGGTTTCTACATAAACCTCATGCTGAGCAGTTTATCCTTAAATCAACAGACATTACGAAACTTGTAAGAGTAGAAAGAATTAGGGCAGAATTGAAGCAAAAAGCTTCTTCTGTCTCACAGGTTATTGGAGATCTTAAAAGTCATTGGCAGCCTCTGTGTCTGGTTCAATTGTTTGAGCCCTTTGAAACAAAGGCACTGCTCCTCCTCTTTCACAGCATTGCATAAAACAACCCTTCTGACTGAAAAATAAATAAAAACAGGCTTTACACTGTTCTTCTGGGACTCAGTACCAGCACACTCCCAGAGACACAGTTGTTATGTAGGTTCAGATTGACTACACATAACCTGAATACTTTGGAAATGAAAAAAAAAGAGGACAAGAGAGGACACAAATCCATCTCCTGAAGCTTTGTGCAGTGACAACAAGTTGCTCATGGTTTTGAGTTACCCATTGAGTTCAGGAAAGAATTTCTGCACAGAGAATGGGCTGGATACCTGCATCATCCCCATACTCTGTCCCCAGAGCAGATTTTCAAAGCAAAGCTTTTAGCACAGTAATAATGACACACAGGGGAAACTGTGTCACATTTGTATGTCACATTTATCACCCCTGACTTACTGTGCCTTGTGAGGGAAAGGATTTGGTTTATTTTACTTTCAGTAATATGCTCTTGAATGTTGTATTCTTTTCCCTCCCTCTGCCTGGATGAGGGATTAAAATTTTAGGATAAGAAAATACTGTACAAAATTGATGTTCCAAGGATGCCTGTGGTTCTGGGTCACTACAGAGTCAATGCAAGCAAAGTTTACCTTGTATGTACTTCCAGCAATGCAAAGCCTTGTCCTACCAGAGAATACCTTCTCAAGTTGCCTCTACCAGTTAACAAACATTTAAAAAAATAAAGAATAACCATTAAATTACAGATCTGATATTCCAGCCAAATTCATCATTGGTGACTCCTATCATAAATGGAACTGCATTAAATTCTTTTCCAGCCATTATCTCTTCAGGTGGCTTAGGAAGAAATACTCCATCCACAACTATGGGCAGAAATGGCAGGTCCTGAAGGAGGAGAGAAAAAAATGATCAAATCACTTGTTAATAGTATTCTCAATTCAAATCATATAAGGTGTCCACATTTAATGTTCCAAGTGCAAAAAAAGGGCTTTAAAAAATGTGAATATCTACAGCCACTGTAACATAGATCTAATTTGGCCCAAGAGTATAAAATGCCAGCCTGGTTGGGTCAAGGTATGGAGTAACGTGATGGTTTCTGATTCTGTGCTGCTTCTAACTGACATTAAAATGTATGTATATGCTCAAGCCTTGCTCACAACTTTCCAGGTGCTGTGACAGAGAGAAATTATGTGATATTTCAACATTTAGGGGTACTTCGATGACAGTTCAGAAAAATCAATTTTGGAACAGAGCAACAATGAACTCTGGTCAGAGGCTGAGCAATGCAAGTGCAGCATTAAACATTCTGTAACTCTCTAGAGTCTCACCTACCGTGGTGTTGAAGATTATATGGTCTGCTTCCTGCTGCCTTAAGCAGTTTATCAGGGAGAGGGAACTGCTCGTGTCACACTTAAAGATACTTGCAATTTTCTGAAAATTGTTAGCAAAGACAAGGACTGTTAGCTGTGAGGTGGTCTTGAAGGGATTCATAAACAGAAAATTACTACACACACTGCTGTAAATAGTTTTACTTAAGGGCAGATTTAGGTGAGCTTGACAGATCTTTGAGTAATTTATTTTACTAGAAATACTACACACAAAGTGAAATCATTCTGGTATACTTTTCTTTCTTGCTATATTTCTGTTCTATGCCCTGTTCTACGACATACTTTAGTCTAGAGAAAATACAAGGTTATAGCATAAACCAAATAAGGAAAGAAAATTCCGAAAATCAATTTCTGAGATATTTACATTACCACCTGCTGTTGCAGGAAGAGAAATGGAAAGGTACTTATAGAAAGGAATTTTATTCGAAAATATTGTTTTGTTTTATATTTAACTACTTTACTTCACATAAAAGCTCTCCACAAAAGACCACAGTTCAATGAAAACTGAATGCCTCTTCTGGATTCTTATTAAACTTGCCATAATAAATGTCATAGTTGCACTATAAAGTACAGTGGGTATAAAAATGGACATTTGCCTTGCCTGGCACGTGTGTAACTGAAAATACCCACATCAACCCACAGCTATTATAATGACATACCTGTACAATGTATTTCTAACACCAAACAAGACTGAAAATAAATAGGTATGCTGTGAGAACAGACTTGATCAACTTGGTTGCATAATATGCAATGAAATTTTCCCCTTTTTTCTTTTAACCAAATGATCACATATAAACATCCCATTTCAGGTTATAAAGGGTTTAAAATGCAAAAACCCCGAGCCTACCTTAGGATGTACTGAAAGAAGTAAATCTCTACTGGGGGGAAGCAGAATTCCACTCTCTGATATTGCTTTATGAAAGAGACCCTTAGACAAAGGAGACAAAACCTGCCAAGAAGGGAAGAACAAAAATTATTCTATATTAACATCCTTATCCCATAACTTTATGCTTGATTAGACTCTTGGATTCAATGGGGAATTACACATTTTTATTTGCTTACAGGGGAAGTCTCCAGACTTAGCACAATGTGCTGTTAATCTTACTGCCAAAAATAAGGTTAAGCATGAAATGTTGCACTAAATGAGTTTTTGAAGATTTTTTTTAAAGACTTTACTTTCTAGTTTATCTTCTGTATGCCTACATGTGCAAAAACGGAGCAAGATCCTGCAGATACACCAAAGAGTGTGACAGATCCTGGATCTCCACCAAAGTGTTCAATATTTCCTTGGACCCACTGAAGAGCTGCTACTTGATCCAAAAAAGCCCAGTTCCCACGAGCATGTTCATCACCAGTACTGAAAGAAAAGCATTATAAGCTTTATAAGAAAGAGTAATAATACCAGAATAAAGTAAATTTTGTGCAAAGTTCTGAAACAAATCATGGATGCTTTCAGGTGAATGTCTGTGGGGGTTACCAGACTGGGAGTATGCATTGCCAGTGGTTTATTTCATCATAAATCTCACAACTTAAGTTTTTGTATTATTCTAAACTGGTAGGAGCTAAGAATTAATTTTATAATTTACGTATTTGCAGCTTTCTGAGTAAGAGCTTTTATAAAGTAATTGCTACGAAAGATAGAAAGGCATAAAGCAACTTTTCCTAGCTTAGGTTTTATAGAAAAAGAGGCAGCAGACCCCTGTCCTGTGATTTCTGGCTGGCTGGCTGTAGCTCTTAGTCTCACAGAATATTGCTCTCACTCTGTACCCACACTAGTCCTAGCAGGAGTTCTCAATGAGGACTGCAAGGCACAGAGTGAAATAAGGTTAAAACAACACAGAAATCTCGCAGGAGATGTTAGCAAACTGCTTCCACTATAACCAGCTTACACATCAAGCAAAATTCACTTGAGCCACAGGAAGAAACTACAGCAAGGAGCCCAGTGAAAGGTTAATGGGCTTAACTTTCTGCATAGAAAATGGGTGGCTATTACTCTAGTTACTAACAGAGGTCATGACAGAAAGAGGTCATTAGCTGCTACATGTGCATGAGAAACCATTACATCTCATGTGTTTCCCCAGTTACTTGTCTTTGATCAAACCATTACTTGTTTTGTGCTAAACAGATGGAGACATGCTTAGCAGAAATTCGAGGTGTTGAGAACAAAATTGAGAGGCACCAAAGGCACAACATTACAAATATTCTCTAGAAACCATTACAGTGCATAAAAGATAAGATGCACAGAAGTGTCTCACTTAGGAGTACAGATATGGGTAGTATTTGAGACATGCTCTGTGTGACTCCATGTTAGAAATCAAAATCAGAGGCTGGTTGGGCACTGACCAGGCTCCCCAGGGCAGTGGGCACAGCACCAAGGCTGGAGCTCCAGGAGGGTTTGGATGATCCTCTGGGGCACAGGGACTGTGTTCTGTGGAGGGCCAGGAGTTGCAATCAATGACTCTGATGGGGCCCTTCCAACTGAGAACATTCTGTGTGATTTGGCCCAGGAAGGTGTGTACAGTCCCTGACCCACAGCCACACCTAAGCCCCTGACTCACCTCTCCTGTTTGCTCACCCCTACACTGAGGGATCCCTGCCCTCTACTCTGGATCAGTTTTTGCTTTACACACCAATGGATGGAAGTAGAGGCAAGAACAAACATCCCCTCCAGAACCAAATCAGCCCAACTACGATTTCATAGCAGGCAGCAATCAAATGACAATGCAAATGGGATTTACAGACATTTCTTAAGGCTCTGAAGTCCTGATGTCAGTGAATTGTGTATATTGAAACCACTGTATCAGCAGGAAGCTGGTATAGAAGTTCAGCTGATTTAGCAAACAAAACTACCCATGCCTTAAACATGACAGGAAGTACTTTGTAAAAAGTGAAATAGGGGATCTTACTTGAAGTATCCAAGGAGTCCAAGTCTGTACTGAATTATTACTACCACAACATTCTCGTAGGCTGACAGTGCTGAACCATCATACCTAGAAGCACCACCAAATATAAAATTGCCTCCATGGATCCACACCATTACCTTAGGGGAAAAAAAAGGGTGAGACACACTTTTATTGCACATTTCATTTCAAAAAGGAAAACACTACCAGATAATTAAGAGCTCCAAAGCACCAAAACACGATGGCAGCTGAATTTTAGCTTGGTGGGCTTTGAATTTTACATTTTACACACTAATATTATTTCTGCTAGTGCAGAAATCACATTTTCAAAAGCAATTAAGACTCTTAGGAGCAATCATTAGGTGCAAACTTTGTACTGCACAAGTTTGTACAATGGGTTTACGTACAGGTAACTTGTCCTTCTTGCTGGAACCAGCAGGGCTGTAAACACTGAGATACAAACAGTCCTCAGAAGTTCGGAAAGGAATGTGTTTTTCTTTGAAGTTTCTTTCAGCTATTTTCAACAGGGACAGATCTTGAGGACATCTTCACAAAAGAAAGGAAGCACGATTATTAATAATGAAACTGCAACAGCATCAGTGTAATAACGACAGAGAAAACACTCTTTTGCCCCACAGGCTGAATCCCGATGGGGTGCTTGAACTTTGTGTTACTTATACACAGCTGGAGATGCAGCCTGGAAAAGCAGGACTTGGACTTGAAATACCCCAGTACTGGCAGTGCATCCACTACCAGCTCCTTCCCAACAGTCTGTACCCCAATAAACACAACTCCCCTGACCCACAGCAGCAGGGCCTGGATACAAAGGAACTGAACAGTTCTCACAGGGGTGGGTAAGAGGTTGCATCTCTCACATCATTCCAGGGTTCAGGTGGTTCAGGTGGGGAAAACCTCAAGGATCCAACAGGGGGTTTTGCAAAAGGAATTCCAAGGAATGCATTTACAAGTTTGTCTGTCCCCTTTACGTTTGTTTGTTTCCCTCTGAGCCGTCCGAGCGCCAGAGTCACTTCTGGCTCAGCACCACTCTGTCCTAAGGAACACAAAAGGTGTACAAAAAAATTAAATTGCATCTTTACAATTATCAGACAGACTTTTCAATGACATATTTTTAACTGTGTAATTTAGAAAATTTCAGCTTATTCCTTTCAATTTTGTTCAGTTTTCACTTTGCTTCTGTGCAGTGACAGACACACCCTGCCAAACCCTCCTGTATCTGCTCTGCCAGTGACACCTGGAACCAGGTAGGACAGAGTTTGGTCACTGTGCATAAAGCTAAAAAGCAAATAAATTTATCATTCAATGAAATCTTAAAAATATTTAGATAATTCAGAAACGTTTTTGCTTTCTACCTTTTAGAAAAGATAGAAAGCTTTCTTTTCATAAAATCATCTCAGAAATGGTTTCATCTCACAAAGCCAGTAATTTCTGCTTCACTAAGATACTTTTGCAGATTGTTACCAAAGCGTAAGAGACTTACTGCCTTTGAAAAAAACACACTTTAAGAATCAACTTCCTCAGCAGCAATAACAGACCGTGCATCTCACCTTCTGCTCCGCACCAGAGGAACGCTACGCTACAAAACAAGGAGCAAAGCAAAGCGATCTGGCTTTGAGGAGCCATTTCTCACGCCCGGCTGGACTCCCAGTGACTCGCTGGTTTTATGCAGCAGAGCAGGTACAAAGGTCCGGGCCCAGGGCACTCGGAGCAGGGAGCGCAGCCGAATTGCCGTGACCGCAGCCGAATTGCCGTGACCGCAAACACGCCCAGCACGCCGATACAGCCCCTGGTGCAGCGCAGCTCAGCGTTACCTGATCCCGGGAATGGCCCAACGCCCCTGGGAACAACCAGGGAACTAACCGGAGTTAATGGGCTGCCTGGGCTACAGGCAAAGAAAACAGGCAAGGGCTGAACAGCTTCCAGAGCTGTCAACAATTAAAAGTGTTTATAAAACCCCTTAAACCAACAAAGACTCCACCAAAAAAACCCCACCAAAACAAAACCCCACAACCCCCCCCCCAAAAAACCACCGCACAAAACCAACGACAAAAAAACCAAGCAACAATAAAAACCATCAAAACCCCCCATAACAAAACCACAAAACCCAACTAACCTCCCCAAACCCCCAACAAAAACGCACACAAAATCCCCCTAAAAAACCCCAAACCACACACACACACACACAGAGACAAACAACTCAAAAAACCGACCAAAAACCTAAGCGATGGATTACAAATAATTAGAAAGTAATGATAAAAAAAATCAAAACAGTTAATTCTCGCTTTAACCCCATTATAAAGGGGTTTATGTGTCTAGGAGGAATCTTCATCCATGTGGAATTCTGGGAGTGGGACTGGCAGTTTGAGCGCAGGGCTGAAAAAAGCCAACAACAGCCCTTATCCCCAGGAAAGAAAGCCTGTAAGCTTTGGCTTTCTGGTGCAGTTGGTGGGTCAGCCTGGGCACTCCAAAAACCAAACAACAACAAAAACCAACAACCCCCCCCATAACAAAACCCAAACCCCAACAAACCCCCACCCCCAAAATCCCCAACAAAAACGCACACAAAATCCCTCTAAAAAACCGAAAACCACAACCACACACACAAACAAGTCAAAAAATCCACCAAAAACTTAAACGATCAGGATTATGGACTACAAATAACTAGAAAGCAATGATAAAAAGAATCAAAACAGTTAATTCTTGCTTTAATCCCATTATAAAGGGGTGTATAAAGGTGAAGTACATAACCGCTTCATTCTATCCCTCCAGTTTAAGCTTGCCCGTTTTTTTAGATTCAGTCTGACTCTTGAAAGTAACGAAGAAATGAGATAAATAACTTTAACCGGCGCATCCCCGGCAGCAGCGGGCGCAGCCCGGGAGGCACCCGGGGAGCCGGGACAGCCCGGACAGCCCACAGCTCACCGCCGGCCAGGGAGCCGGGACAGCCCCGCTGCCTGCCCGGGGAGGCACCGCCAGCACAGTGGAGCGGGACCGGGACCGCTCCCCGCCCTCAGGAGGCTCCACCACCCGGGATAACCGGGATAGCCCCCCTCCCGCACTCAGGAGGCTCCACCACCCGGGATAACCGGGACTGCCCCGCTCCCGCCCTCAGGAGGCTCTGGGATAACCGGGACTGCCCCGCTCCCGCCCTCAGGAGGCTCCGGGATAACCGGGACTGCCCCGCTCCCGCCCTCAGGAGGCTCCACCACCCGGGGAACTGGGATAGCCCCGCTCCCCGCCCTCGGGAGGCTCCAGGGGAACCAGGACAGCCCCGCTCCCGCCCTCAGGAAGCTCTAGGACAACCGGGACAACCCCACTCCCCGGAGGGAGGTACCCGGGTAACCGGGACGGCCCCGCTCCCGCCCTCAGGACGCTCCCCCGCCGGAAGCCCCGCCCGTTCCCGGTGCGCTGCCGAACGCGGTCCGGGCGGTTCCGGCCCCGCCGCCGCCATGGTGGGTCCGGGCCCGGCGCCGCTGGAGAACGCGAACCCGCTGATCTACCGACGCTCCGGGGAGCGGCCCGTCACCGCCCGCGAGGAGGACGATGAGCTGCCCGACGCCATCGACGACCGCGAGATCTTCGATATCCTGGGCCGGGCAGGGCAGGGCCGGGCAGGGTCGGGACGGGTCGGGGCAGGGCCGCGGCGCTTTCCTTAACCCGCACATCTCATCCGCTCCATCAATGACCCCGAGCACCCCCTCACCCTGGAAGAGCTCAACGTCGTCGAGCAAGTGCGAGTGAAAGTGAGATCCCGCCGGGATGTGCTCGTTGTGCTGGGGGGCACAGCTGCCTCAGCCGGCTGACCGACTAATTACTTCTAGCGTTAAAATATGTTTGTCATGACGGTCTACTGCATAGTAGTTAAAATTATTAATAGTGTTTTAACTAATTAAATAGTATTTATTTTACATAACGATATATATTTTTATAATTAATTTATTATAGATAACGTATAGTTATTATAAATTATTTGTATATTTATATGTATTTATAATATTACATTATTAAATGGTATTTTTAAATGTCAGTGAACGACATGAGGTGTGAGTGACAGTGCAGCACCATGTTGCATGTCGCATGAAAGGCCTCGGGCTGGTTTGGGGTGAAAGCAGCAGGTTTTGTCCCCAGCTGGTGTTGGTTTTTGCCCAGGTGAACGATGCTGAGAGCACGGTGTCGGTGGAGTTCACCCCCACCATCCCACACTGCAGCATGGCCACCCTGATCGGCCTCTCCATAAAGGTCAAACTGCTCAGGTCTCTGCCTGAGAGGTTCAAGGTGAGTGACCACATCACTCTGGGAAGCGAAACAGGGGGATTGTGTTTGAAAAAAGAGAAAAAAAAAAAGGGCAACCCCCCCCCACTTTATAGTGAAAATAACTAGAGCGTTTTTCATTTTGTGAGTGAGGGAGGCACCAGGAACAGAGGGGGCAGTGGGTTGGAATATCAGTGCAGAGTTATGGTTCTGTGACAGTCATGTCTTGGGGTTTTGGAGGGAAATTACCTGCAGTGCTCTATGGCCCAGGAGAAGGAGAGGTTGGTGCCCCACCCTTGTCTAAAGCAGGCTTTAGCAGATGGAATGCAGAATATGATGTGATTTTAGACTTTTGTTTTATTCTGTTATATATAATAACTGCGGTTACTGTCTTAATTTTATTTAATAGCTTGAACTTCCAATGTTTTGTTAACTCATCCCCTTTTTCTTTTGGGGTGCCTGTTAAGCTGGATGTTCATATAACACCGGGAACACATGCCTCTGAGCACGCAGGTAAGACTTTGGTGATTTTCTTTATGTGTATTTTAATCTTGAGAGATTCCCACTGCTGCAGAGCATCTGTTTGGTACCTGGGACTTTGTGTGCGTCAGATGTTCCAGAACAGGAACACGTAATGTCAGAGATTGTTCTGCACCATCCTTTAAGCATCTCCTCAGGCAACCTGTGCTCTCAGCAGTCATTGATTTTTCCTGGGAAATGGGGAGAGCTGGGGGGGATTTCCTGTGTCACACCCACACAGCAGCTCCCTGCTGCTGAATCACGGGCAGCTCGCTGATTTAACTGATGACACAGGAGCTCTGCCTTTCAGCTGCAGCTCTGGGGTGTGCTTGGCATCTGCAGAACTGCCTGGGGTACCATGGCAACTGTCATTATCTGTCTCGACGTAAAATGCTTTAAAAAAGACACCCTACACCAATGTCCTCACCGGTTTCTTGTCTCCTTTTTTTTTTTCTCTGCGCAGTCAATAAACAGCTTGCTGATAAAGAACGTGTGGCAGCAGCTTTGGAGAACTCTCACCTCCTGGAAGTGGTGAATCAGTGTTTGTCTGCTCGGTCATAATTGCCTGATGAGGAAATCACTGGTATTCTGCTCTGTTAAACTAATTTTGTATTTATGTGGTGGTGTTACACTATACATATAGCTATGAGAAAAATAAAATCACTTGGATTTTCTTGAGGAAATGTTTCTTTACTCTTGCAAAAAATACAATGTGGGAATTACCTTACAGGCAGCTACAAAATTATAATGAAAATTGGCTTTTTAATTGTATGAGACATTACATAGGTAGGATTTTTCTTTTACAATATTTGTTTCCACTTGTTTTTAACTGGTTTCTCGCTACCCAGCATTAGTTATAAACTGCATTTTAGAAATGGATCTCGTACACTGGACTTCACAAGTACACCAAGATAATTTGCATTTAAAATCTTTACATTCACATGACTGTTTTGGACTGCTAATATAATTTTAGCTTCAGACATCAAAAATTGTACAAGTTGGTGTGTGAAAAGTTGTAACACGTTTTATCAGAACGTGTAAACACTTCTAAGTCATTTACCTGCTTTTAAAATTATATTACCTTGGATGAACCAAATACAGAGTGCTCTTTTAAAACATGGTTTATTTTTAATTACTACTTACTTGTGGTAGAAAATTCAGTATCTTTGAGGTAGGGATTTTTTTAATGCACCTGCCACAATATAGGAGTTATTCATAGTTTTCAGTATGAACAGCCCAGCAACCCTCTGCTGTGTTTGACAGCTAAATGACAAGTTTTGCTTTAACTGTATTGAGATTTAATACTAAAACCAGGCCTATGCTTCTGGTTTGGGAAATGTGGCATTCACTAAACTGTTGTCTTTGGCAAACGTTGACAATAGAAAAATTCATTAAGAATTAATTTGAACTTTTAAAAAGATGTCTCTAGTCATGAACAACATGGAAAAAATAACAACCTGTTAAATCCTGTCAGGTATTTTGGCGCCTGCACATGTACAATGTTACCTTCATCATCATCAGTTATCTGGAGAATAAGTAACAGACTTTCTAAAAAGTAGGCTGTGCTCAGCTGTTTGATGGTAATGCTTTATACTGCAGTACTGTTTTCTCTTGGAGGGTCTCAGATGCTGTTTTAAAAAGGGTGAAGTTTATGAGCATTGTGTAAAGCACAGCCTAGCAGTCCAGCCTAGCCCGTGTTGAGCAGCTGAGGAAACTTGGGGTGATCCAAGTGTGACATCTAAAGTCACGTAGCAAAATAGGAGAGAAACCAAGCCAAATCTTCCTGTTTCAGAAATGAGCCTCCCTGTTTGCACAGGGCTCCTACAGACAGGCAGCTCTGCAGCAGCCTTGCCTTGCTTGGCTTAGCATCCTTTGAATGGCCAGCACTTGCTGGGATGTATGAATGAAACTGTCAGTA